GTCAAGTTGGGCATCCCATTACCCCATTCAAATTATTTCCCATAATAAATGAAACAAAAAACAAGCTCATGGACTGTTCACTAATTGTGAATGCAAGTGTGGAAAATGCATGTTGGCTGGCTGTACGAAGCTTAGGGTGACCCAGAAACACAGCAGCCCTCAGGATGGTAGCGCTACATATGGATTTGGCACAAATACATAATGAACTAAAATGATAATAAAACAGAGTTCATAGTGACTGCAAAAAATATACTTTATTTTTAATCTGTTCAGATTAATAAAGAATACTAAATAATTCTAATTACTCATAGTTAAAGATTTTTTTCTTTAAATGGTAATCACACTTTCGAAAGCAGACATTTGAAATTTCCAATGCAACTCATGATTTAAAAGAAGGTGCAGATAAAAGGTTGGTATTTCTAAGAGAGAAGTGGCTGTCCTTGTTACTTCACAATCAAATGAACGCAGTAAAATGTCAAGTTCTCAAATTGGGCACTGTGACATTTTAATACATATTCACTATTATCTCTTCCCAATGCAAAATACATCAGGGAGAGTATTTAAATTCTGCTCATTTATTCAACAAATAATCTGCAATGAATTTTTTTTTCCCTTGAAGATAATTCTTAATCGGAGTAGAGAAAAGAAAAAAATATGGATACATTGTTTTTGCTCTATGAAAATTACAATAAAAGTATTTGCTTAGGAGATTGAACATTTAATGCATTAAAGATTACACAGCAAAGCATATCCCAAGAACTTTGTGAAATTATTTAGTTAAAAAAAAAAATTATATTGTTATGTAATAAATTTTACTGGTATGTAACTTAAAGCCTAAAGTGGTTGTAAAACCGTACCTATACCCATGGAAGTGATTGGCCTCAAGTGATACACAGAAGTGACACAAATCCTCCTACATAAGTTGTATGTGTTTATCTGTAGCCATTTGTCCTTTATATCCTTGTAAAACTCAGAGATGAGAAGGATTTTTCACAGACTTACAAGGTAGGGGGCAGGGAGCTGAAGTTACACACTGTACAAGAGCTATGAGAGCTGATTGGAGGAAAGGGAAACCCCCCTTCACACAGCACATAGGAACAAAGTTGAGGGTGTCAGTCATGTGCTAGATTTCCCTCCCCTGACACCTTTTTAGCTCTTGGTGTCAGGAAAATTTGTCAGCAGTGACTCATGCTGATAAAAGAGGAATTAGTAGAAATTACTTAGGGGGAGATTTACTAAAATTGGTGCATTTAGAATCTCATTCACCTGTGCAAGGTAGCCAATCAGCTTCTAACCTCAGCTTGTTCAGTTAAGCTTTGGCAATAAAACCTGAAAGCTGATTGGTTTCTATGCAGAAGTGCACCTGATTTTGCACTCTCCAGGAGGCATGCTAGAAGAAGTCTGGTCACTGGAGCAGAGCACACGGAGTTCCTAGCCCAGTTAGAGAACTGACCACGCTTTGCTCTCATGCCTAGTGTGGTCAGTTTTAATAGGAAAGCAGAGGGACTGGCAGGAACACCAGGAATTTCACACAAAGAAATCAGTACAAAGAGAACAGGATACTTTTTCATACAAGTATATGGTATAGCAGGCACATATCAGTAATATGAAATGCTGGGCTTACATATTCTTTAGTTGAAGTGTTACACTTTTTTCTATGTTTCATAGTCTTGCACTCTTACATGTTAAGATTTTGAACTGATTTCCATTTGGAAATTACTTGAAATACCTTTTATCTCATAGTGTAAATGGAGTCATTGTTTTTCCACTTCAGTATCCTATGCCATAATCTCAACCTTTCAAGGTTCCACTAAACTGTAAAGGATTCTAACACTATCCCAGCATCACATGGACTTGTTCCAACACCTTACTGCATGTGAGCAGGCCCCACATGCGTGAGTCACCCATATTTTCTCCTATGGGACCCACCTACTCCCCAATCCACCACCAGGTTTGCCACAGTTGCTTTCACCAGGATCTTATATCTACATGTGTGTTCCTTATGAAATAGCATAAAAAACACAAACAGAAAGGGTGCAAATGCCTAGTGTATTATCTTTTGCACTTTATTAGGTGAACCAAATAAAAATATACTCACAAGCCCAATAGCTGAAAGCATGTTCAACACACATAAGGCGCAGTATACAGATGGCAGCAATGGCATTGCTCTGATGAAGGGGGCAAGTTACCCGAAACACGTCAGTTGGATCAGTCACTCATTTGCCAGTTGGAGCTGGATAGTGGACATCTGTATACCACCATCACAGCTTTTACTCACAAGAAAATTCCAACAAAACCATTAAAAGAGTGAAGTTTTAATGCATTGAAGATTACACAACACAGCATATCATTTTATTAAATAACTCTTGTGAATATATTGCTGTAAAAAAAAACTTTTTCTGTTACTTAAATTCTGCTGGTATGTAACATTAAAGCTCAATTGAAATTTTACACTTCTTTCTGTTTTACAATTTCATGCTCCTGCATGTTATGTTGTTTACATTTTTTCTCTAAGTGTAAGTGGACTCTCTGTTATCTCACTTCAGTGCCCTATGCAGTTTCCTAAATCTTCCCAGGTTCTGTGGGACTGTTCAGGTTTTACTTCTTACTGCTGCATTCTGTTCACTATGAGCGGTGTATTTACTGTGAGGCAAACAAGGCATTTGCTTGGGGTGGCATATTTCAGGGGGACATCCGGAAGAAATGACACAAGCTGCAGGGACAGGGACCTGGTGAAGCACTGCCAGCAATCCACCAATTGGGCAGGTCTGGGGTATGGATTGCTGGTGACAGGCTGCGGTGAGAGAGAGTGGTGTTGGTGTTCAGGTGGCGTTTGACCTGTGCGGTGGCAGTGCGGGTCTGGGAGGATACCTGCCTGGCTCTCTCTCTCACCTCTTGAATCTCCTGGCTCAGTGCTCCTTCAACTCTCCCGAGTCCCATCCAATCATTCCTGGCCCACCGTCACGTGATCACTGCATGCCTCTAACAGCTGATCACTCTACCCCCCTATCAACCGGAGCTGTAACATGTGAAGTGAGTCAGGGGGGTGCTCTACCCTGCACTGGGAGCCAGGTACCTATCGGTGTCACACAGCAGTAAGTATTTTACATGTGTGGGGACACTGAGAGTACCTGTTATGGTGATCAGGAAGGACCATTATGTGTGCAGTGTTCAGCAGACAATGTACAGGGCTAGGAGATCAGACAGTACCAAGGGTGGAGCAGTCGCTAACATCGCCATTCTCCTGTAGTACATCTGCAGTCTCCACCTGTCAACTATATCATGACTGCAGTCTCTGACCATCCCTAATGATGTGCAGTATCCTCTAGCAACCAATCAGTGAGTGGTAAGGATGTGCAGTAACCTCTAGCAACCAATCAGTGAGTGTGGACTTGTTCTTAATGTTTACATTACTAAAGTTTTTTTTAGATAAGTCTATGTGTGTGTGTTTGTTTTGGGGGATGTTGGGGTGGAGAACAATATTGTAATGGGGGGGGGCAAGAAAATGTTTGCCCAGGGTCCAATCAATATTAAAGATGGCCCTGGCTGAGTGTTGTGGTGCTGACCATGGGGGTGCTGGTGGGGTGTTGGGATACCCAATTTTACTGTTGCCTAGGGCTGCACAATACACCACTGTTCATTATGGGCTGACTTTTACATTCTTTTGTGTGGTATGCTATATAGATCTGACCCCTGTACTCTATACATTATGTTATGTATTTATTTCTTCAGTGGCTGCTTATTGCCATGCAGTTTACAGCAAATTAAATGCTTATTTCAAGTTGAAGAAAAGTCTGTTCTTGAATATGTTATATTCTTGTTATGTTATGTTATATTATATGTTATATCTATTCTTGAATATGTTCTGTAGTATAATGCTACTAAAAGGAGTATGACTATCCTGCTCAGACTGGGCAGAAAAAAAAACAGAACAGAGCTTTTATAATTTTAGGATGTTGCCATTACAATTCATAGTCTTTTTTACTGAGTCAGTGTGGCTCACAGGGTATCCCTGTTCAAATAAGTGGGAAAGTACATAACTTCCATCGTTGACAAGGAAGCAGAAGTCCGTGGCATGGGGTTCATGCAACTGTGTGTATTGCAGTAAATTTTAACTTTATTTTTAGTTGCTTCATTTATATTGGTTCATAAGCCTAGCTGCATATATTACCTTAGCAAAAAAAAGAAAAGAAAAGCTCAAACGATTGTTTTTTAAGTAATGCATTCTGTTCTTATTCCTTACTGCTGATTAATGTCAGGAAACTTGAACAGTGACTTCAAAACAAGGTTTCTTCTCACTTTTATTGAACTTCTTAAAGCTATGGAAACGTCATGTCACCTCCCACACTCGAAGGGAAGAGACAGTTCAGAGCACTGAAGAATCTACAACAGTCAGAACATTGCATAAATGTACCATTAAAAAATTGAATAGGAGCTCCAAGAGAAACTATTCCAAAGCAGCAAGCTTGCCCCCTGCAGGTTTTCAATTTACACATTAACGCGTCTTTTAATACCACATGAAAGTATTCAGATTTTAATTGAAAACTGTATTCTCTGTAATCACCAACTGGATTAAATTTGAATACATTAATTTAGAAGGAGCTGATATACAGTAGATTAACCTGTACTAGTTGCACATTTTCAGAAACAATATAAAATACTATATCTTCTCTATATGATATTGGATTATTTGCTTCTGGAGTACAGTTTTTGGCACAGCTTCTATTGTTTTTGTCAATTTAACATATTGAAAAGAGGATTGTAAGCTTTTATCACACAAGGGTAATTTGTATCCATTTTCCAGTGTTTGTTGCTGTGATATTGTATTTAGTTTAATATCACTTAAAGGATAGGTTCACCTTTCGTAACATGTTACACCCATATTCAGGCTGTAACGTGTAGCATGTTACGATCTAACCAGTTCACTGTCCCTCAGACCGTTGGAGTGCCGGACTATAGTATGAAAAAAAAAAACTATGAACAAATGCGGACACAGTACAGGAGATGACCAGAGGCTGCAGACACAGTACAGGAGATGACCAGAGGCTGCAGACACAGTACAGGAGATGACCAGAGACTGAAGACATAGTACAGGAGATGACCAGAGACTGAAGACATAGTACAGGAGATGACCAGAGACTGCGGACATAGTACAGGAGATGACCAGAGACTGAGGACATAGTACAGGAGATGACCAGAGACTGCGGACAGTACAGGAGATGACCAGAGACTGGACACAGTACAGGAGATGACCAGAGACTGCGGACATAGTACAGGAGATCACTAGAGACTGCGGACACAGTACATGAGATGACCAGAGACTGCGGACACAGTACAGGAGATGACCAGAGACTGCGGACACAGTACATGAGATCACCAGAGACTGGAGACATAGTACAGGAGATCACCAGAGACTGTTGACATAGTACAGGAGATGACCAGAGACTGCGAACATAGTACAGGACATCACCAGAGACTGCGGACATAGTACAGGACATCACCAGAGACTGCGGACATAGTACAGGAGATCACCAGAGACTGTGGACATAGTACAGGAGATCACCAGAGACTGTGGACATAGTACAGGAGATGACCAGAGACTGTGGACATAGTACATGTGATGACCAGAGACTGCGGACATACAACGGCGGCGGGAATACTGGGCCGGCCGTTCCATAAGACGTACAAACATTTCCCCCAAGTGTGTCTTATGGAGTGAAATATACGGTAAATGCAGGACACCTTGTTGGGTCAGATCTGGGTACAATGTAAAGAGAGAGAGGGGAGGGGGAGATAAGGAGAGGAGAGAGAGAGGGGGGGAGAGAGAGGAGGGGAGAGAGAGGTGGGAGGGAGGGAGAGAGGAGGGGGGAGAGAGAGGAGGGGGGAGAGAGAAAGAGGAAGGGGGAGAGAGGAGGGGGGAGAGAGAAAGAGAGGAGGGGGGAGAGAGGAGGAGGGAGAGAGAAAGAGAGGAGGGGGGAGAGAGGAGGAGGGGAGAGAAAGAGGAGGGGGAGAGAGAGACAGAGAGGAGGGGGGAGAGAGGAGGGGGGAGAGAGAGGAGGGGAGAGAGGGGAAAGAGAGGAGGGGGGGGAGGAGGAGAGAGAGAGGAGGGGGAGGGGGAGAGAGGAGGGAGGGATAGAGAGGAGGGGGGGAGAGAGGAGGGAGAGAGAGAGACCGAGAGAGAGAGAGGGGGGGGGGGAGAGAGGAAGGGAGAGAGAGAGAAAGGGGGGAGAGAATGGGTGAAAGTTCTGTGAATCCCGAGTGAAAAAGTTGGTAAGTAGACCCCTGTGGGTCACATGTACCTGTAGATTGGGATGCATGCACTTTTCACTGTGATTCCAGCCTGACACAAACATGCAGTGTGCTCCAGTGGCGGTTTTCTGTAAATCTAAGCATTGATGAGCAGGGAGGCCCCTGACACTTGGCAGCCCCTGTGATCGTCTCACACGTAACAGTCCCTTAAGCTCCTCCCAATTACACTGGCCGCTCTGTCACCGAAGCAGCGGCTCGCACATGACAGCGCCCCGAAAAGACCACGCCCCTTATTTAACTTATCGCTCGCCCTCCCCACCCCATCCTCTCACTAGCCCCGCCTACTGCCATCTCTTAGTAACCCCTGTTCTAGAATTGCTGATCCCGCCCTCCTGCCTCCCGCTCTGGTTTGGGCCCCTTTTGCAGCAATTACTGCCTCAATGTGGCATGGCATGGAAGCTATCAGTCTGTGGCACTTTTGACGTGTTATGGAAGACCAGGATGCTTCAACAGTGGCCTTCAGCTCTTCTGCATTGTTCGGTCTCATGTCTCTCGTCTTTCTCTTGGCAATGCCCCATAGATTCTCTATGGGGTTCAGGTGAGGCGAGTTTGCTGGCCAATCAAGCACAGTAATCCCACGGTCATTGAACCAGGTTTTGGTGCTTTTGGCAGTGTGGGCATGTGCCAAGTCCTGCTGGAAAATGAAGTCAGCATCCCCATAAAGCTCATCTGCGGAAGGAAGCATGAAGTGCTCCAAAATCTCCTGGTAGATGGCTGCATTGACCCTGGACTTAATGAAGCATAGTGGACCAACACCAGCAGATGACATGGCTCCCCAAATCAACACAGACTGTGGAAACTTCACACTGGACTTCAAGCATCTTGCAGTGTGTCCCTCTCCATTCTTCCTCCATACCCTGGGTCCTTGGTTTCCAAATGAGATGCAAACGTTGCTCTTATCAGAAAAGAGGACTTTGGACCACTGAGCAACAGACCAGATCTGTTTTTTTTCTTTAGCCCACGTAAGACGCTTCTGACGCTGTTTGTTGTTCAGGAGCGGCTTGACAAGAGGAATACGACATTTGAAGCCCATGTCCAGAATCCATCTCTGTGTGGTGGCTCTTGTTGCACTGACTCCAGCCTCAGTCCACTCCTTGTGAAAGTCCCCAACACTTTTGAATGGCCTTTTCCTGACAATCCTCTCCAGGCTGCAGTCATCCCTGCTGCTTGTGCACCTTTTGCTTCCACACTTTTCTCTTCCTCATAACTTTTTATTAATGTGCTTTGATACAGCACTTTGGGAACATCCAACTTCTTTTGCAATTGCCTTTTGAGGCTTTCCCTCCTTATGGAGGGTGTCAATGATGGTTTTCTGCACAATTGTCAGGTCAGCAGTCTTTCCCATGATTGTGATTCCTACTGAACCAGACTGAGAGACCATTTAAAGCCTCAGGAACCCTTTGCAGGTGTTATGGCTTAATTAGCTGATTAGAGTGGGACACTTTGAGCCGAGAATATTGCACCTTTTCACAATATTCTAATTTTCTGGGGGATTGTGGATTTGGGGTTTTCATGAGCTGTAAGCACAATTATGACAAATCACAGCTTGGACTATCTTGCTTTGCATGTAATGAGTCTATTAGTTTCACCTTTTAAGTTGCATTACTGAAATAAATGAACTTTTGCACGATATTCTAATTTTTTTAGTTTCACCTGTACAACCTGACTGATCCTAACTAAATTAGGAGCAGGAATAATGAGCATAGCACAATAACTGTGTGGATGAAACAACAACATAGTATAAGGATAAAAGTATTGCTCCCTAGAAGGAGGCCCTTCATCAGCAACATGGAGTCTTTGTTCTTGCAGGGAAGATAGCTGTCCTGGGACCTGCAGAACAGTAAATAAGTAAATAATATAAGAATAAGTAAATGGTTGTCTAACCTTCACAACTACTACCTGGGCCCTGTAAATGGCCCGGCCTTTATTCCACTCACTTTTTATGTCCTGAAAGAGGGGCCAGGCTCCTTCCAAGTGAGGCCCTCTCAGGTGTCTGGGTACATGCATGGTCCCAGATCAAGTCCTCTTCCCATTGTGCTCGGGATTCCTCAACCAGATCCATGATGTCTTGAGGGACAAAGGGGTAATCAAGCCCCCCACTCTACAGCCACTCTTCTCCCACTGCAGATGGGAGAAGCGGGACAGGTTTCTCTTGTCCCCCAACCCCGATTGCACACAGGATTGCGGTGAACGAATGACCCATTCCTGCACTTTAGTATCTCTGGCCCTGGGGCTTTTGAAGGAATCATGACAGGCTCTGACCTACAGGATCATCAAGCAGAATCTGGTGTGTAAGAAGGTTCTGACAGTCCCTTTCAGTGAATCCAGCTCTACTGTGGTACCCCCCCCCCCCCAGTCCCATTCTTCCTCTGTTTCCTCCAGGGACCATCCCTCCTGCTCAATCTCTAGGGGGCCAAACCTTATTAGCAGTCTGAGTGACTCCACATCTACCTGAGGACTGGTCATCCCTGCAGCTAGGCTCCTTGCAGGTAGAGAGGTAAGGGAAAGTAAGCGAGGATGGCTGGTCTGGGGCATGGACAGGTTCCTGCTGATCAGCATCTGTTAGCACTGGCCCTCCGTCACCTTCTAGCAGGCAAGACATGGCAGTGTGTGGCCCTTCTCCATTGTAAGGAGCAGTGATGGTGGCAGGGGAGTTGCAGTCCTGGGACTCAATAAAAATAAAACAGTGTAATATTACTTAAAGTATTATGTAAATGGGTGATTACAAAACACAAAATAAATTAAATAAACATCCCCTGAATATAAACATCGGGAAAAAAAACACACACATATATAGATAATAGTGTCATGCGTGAATTCCCTCATAAGGGAATATCCAGTGCATAGGGTGACAAATACAACCCTAGATCAATACTGTGAAAAAAACACAATAGTGCACAATATTAGTGAACAAATAGTTTGTTCACTTGTCCAAAGTCTGAAAAATAAATGCGAGTCCTGGGACTCAACCCCGCTCTGTATAGCAGACTCTGAACATCCTCTGGCTTTCTCGTGCAGAGTTCCATTTGCAGATTTACACTGTAGTTAAGGAGCACCAGATCGCTAGGCAGCAGTTTGTTCAGAGGTTCTCCACAGTGTCCGCACCTGACCCAAGCTCCGATCCGGGCAGTCGGACTTTTGCACTCAGGGCAGACTAGACATACCTTCTCAGTGCCCTCAAGTATCCCTAGAGCATGCAGCCGCGATGCTCAAAGTGGACTCCTGTGTCCACCAGTGTAAGTTCAGGCTAGTAAACGTTGGAGTACACCGAATACGCCATCCATCTTTCTCTGCTCAGGCTCTCTCTCCACTTGGTGGGTGTAGAGGGCAGTTCTTAGGGCAGGTGTCTGGGCATGAACTTGGGCGTGCATATAGGCATGACCATGCCCCTTCTCACGACTTGTCGGCACCAGCCAGACTGCCGTATAGGGACTTTCCCGCCACTAGATTAACCCCCAATGTTCCGGCTTGGGATGTATGTACTGGACTGCAGATACAGTGATGGCTGTATCCAGATGGCAGGGCATAGACAGTTTGCTGCCTGGCAATGGACATTGATTTCCAGCCACCGTTGAATAGCTTGATAGTGCTGGCAGTATGAGTGTTGGAGACGATGCTACTCTGCGGCGGGTTCCAGGGGCAACAATGGGGCATGAAGCACACCCCCACCTGAGTGCAAGGTCAATATTATAGTCACTGAATTCAATTAACACAAAACAATCAAGCATTTGTAATCCATGTTTTGGCAGATCTTTCCAGTCGACAGGAAGATCACGGTTATGGCACAGTCATTTGTTAGCACCACCTGTTGAGCAACGTGCAGATTGGTATGCAGCAATAAACCGTCCTGGTTGCTCTGGGTGACGGCAAGCACATACACGGTAAACAATTCACTGTCACATGCAGTCACGTAGTCTCTGTTGGTAGCCACCTGGGATGCAGCATAAAGACTCTTAGATAGGTCCGGCATGGTTGGCTAAGTTCCGTGGCACACTTTTTTTTCTCTGGCTTGCCTGTTGCTAGCGGTAACGGCAGGAAGGTTACCATAGGCTAACCCCAGATTTATGAGCCCCCACATGTAGCACAACCCGTTAGGGGTTGAGGATGAATATAGTCCCCCCTATAGTCCTACACAGCCAGGCAATCTGCACACAAGCTTACATTCAGAGTCAGAAATCAGTCCTTGAGTTTTTGTTTTGTTGTTTATTGAGGTGATCTAGAACTGGGATACGGTAAGGGGGTATAGGATGCCCAAGGAAACCAATACCTGAGGACAAACTTCCTGAAACTATTCACAAGCTTCTGTTCTGCAACACAGTCTCTGTTGGAGA